TGTCTTCCTACATACCTGCTTTCTGTACATATTGAATTAGTGTGAATTTGTATGATGATTTTATCGAATCTATCTATCTCAACAGGTGTTCCTCAAGGCCCACGTATCAAGAACAATGACGTCATCAATATAGTAAGAGGGAAATATTCGAACGCCATTGATGACCTCATAAGTAGGAACTGACTCCCTGGTGTGACGTCATACAAAGGCCCCGTTACCATTAACATCTCACAGCTGACGGCAATGGTCCCCCACCCCCTTTCCTGTGAGCAAGTAAAGGGGATTTAAAGATAATTCTATATTTAACTAGCGCTGAGGGAGGTATATTGAACGTTTAAAATAGAGACAGCCATTTATCTGAGGAATTAATGTATGGTACGTCATACACCTACAAGGCCAATCAATGTGAACAGCTGGCATCACCTTATTTCATAGTTAAATTATTTATTTATTCATATATTCTTACTAATTGAGGAGTTTACCGTTTTATCAAGTCTTTATTATAAACGAGTTGTGAGGCCGTTAGTCGCACGCCATTACCACGTGATCTTCCGTTACATCATATACCCGTGACGTCACAACTTACCAAACCGTACTGTCACGTGGTTGGACATGCAGATCGTGACGTCACATGACCCCACACGGTAACGCAACGTGACCAACGGTAAGAGACGTTACTACTTTCTCTTATTTATGAGGTAACACGGTCACAAAGATGCAATACAGTATAATTAGACAGTTATTTACCTTGAGTAAGACGGTGAGACATGATACAGCTCTACACGGCTTACGACACATCACTGTTTGTGTCTTGTTTACAGATGGCACTACAGGCTTACGACACATCACTGTTTGTGTCTTGTTTACAGATGGCACTTCAGGCTTACGACACATCACTGTTTGTGTCTTGTTTACAGATGGCACTTCAGGCTTACGACACATCACTGTTTGTGTCTTGTTTACAGATGGCACTTCAGGCTTACGACACATCACTGTTTGTGTCTTGTTTACAGATGGCACATCACTGTTTGTGTCTTGTTTGTGTCTTGTTTACAGATACCAGGCTTACGACACATCACTGTTTGTGTCTTGTTTACAGATATTCACTGTTTGTGTCTTGTTTACAGATGGCATTCTTACTACTGTTTGTCTTGTTTACAGATGGCAGGGCTTACGACACATCACTGTTTGTGTCTTGTTTACAGATGGCACTTGTTTGTGTCTTGTTTACAGATGGCACTTCAGGCTTGACAGTATTGTTTGTGTCTTGTAACAATTACTAGGCTTACGACACATCACTGTTTGTGTCTATAACTACAGATACATATAACAGATGGCACTCACTGTCTACAGATGGCACTACGACACATCACTGTTTGTGTCTTGTTTACAGATGGCACTTCAGGCTTACGACACATCACTGTTTGTGTCTTGTTTACAGATGGCACTACAGGCTTACGACACATCACTGTTTGTGTCTTGTTTACAGATGGCACTACAGGCTTACGACACATCACTGTTTGTGTCTTGTTTACAGATACCCTGTATACTACTATTTATATCTACTAGAATCAGGACACTATTGTTTGTATTTAAAGTATTGTTTGTGTCTACAGTAAAATTATAGAGCATTGTTTGTGTCTATAACTATAATATAAATTTGTTGTCTAATGTACTGAAAAATTATATACCGTGTAGTATTGTGTGTACCTCACCTAATGCCACCATACACCATTGTTTACACCTTGAATACAAAACAAAGCTTAAATCTAACATATAAACAAAGCTTGAATCTAAAAAATAAACAAACCTTGAAACTATAAACTAAAACACATTGAATACTTAGACACTATATTTTTTTTTACAAACATTTAAAATTCCTCAGTAAAAATAAGTTCTTTAAGCCTTACTGCTCCCAAGGGCGAATTTAACCAACCAAATACCATTTACTCGTTTCTCGTTTTACAAGGCTCTCCACGGGTTCAAATGACCGCGTAAATCGGTGACCAATTACTAATATATTGTGATTTTAAGGAGATAATATAGAATGGTGAAGATAATTAATGGAGATAGTCTACTAACCCCTTGTGTATATGGGAATCCTCAGTGTGTATGAATTCCTTCCCTGTTGAATGCCTGTACTGTCGTAAAGCTTCGTTCTGGCACTGTATGCAGGGAGGGGGGGGGGACTTGTATCTGAAACAAAGAGAAATGAATAAATAGAGAAATGGATAGATAAATTGATTGATAAACATGAATAAATATAATAGATCGATATAGATAGACGAATACATATATTGAGTAGAAAGGAGGGAGGGAGGGGGGGGGGGGTATTCACATGACGATCACGGGGTGTACGGATGACTCACCACTTGCCCTTCCCCTGTGTGTGTAAGATATAGACGCAGATCCATAGTAATCATAGAGAGAAAGAGAGAGAAGTAGTGTGAGTCAGCTGGCTTGCCACTAAACCAACACACTCAGTATGACTCAACCGTTTATTAGTCTGACTCACACTCACACACCTAGAAACAAACATGTAATGATTGGTTTGGGTTTCATGAGAGGAAGGAAATGACCGCTAGAATGGTCACCGGTCATGTCCTCTGGGGGGTAGGTTGGGGAAGTGACCTAATAGGGTGTGTGACCTAAAATAATGACCCTAAATGTATTACATGATGATTAGACACCCTAACCTAAACTAACCAAGTGTACTTTCTACTGACCTACATGTGTACTTTCTACTGTCCAATAAGCCTACTTTACTTTCCTGTACTTCTGCTCTCAGGTATTTGTACAGTGAACCCAAAGAAGCAGTAGATTAGTAAATTAATCTGCCCATAAATGGTTCGGATTCACGAATCTGAATCCCCGGGTTCGTGGTTCAGGAGTAGAAGCGAAGAGACTTTATTGAAGATAATGTTGTCTCTGTTACCACGACCCTTACTACGACTAATACCATTACTACTATTACCACAACAACCAATCTAAAGTTTTTATGACTATTTCTACCACTACTACTACTACTATTTCAATTACTACCATTACGTCTACTACCACAACTACTACCTTTACCACCATCGTGACCACTAGAACTATCACTACCACCCCCACCACAACCATCACTACTACCATAACACACACACAGACATACAGAATACCACAATCACCACAACTACCACCATTATCACTATCACAACCACCATCATTACCTCGTCACCACAACTACCACCATTATCCCAATCATTACCACAATCACCACCATTAGCTCATACACACACGGTAACCACAATCAACAATATATTTTTTTTTTACCAATATATCTTTCAATAACATCAAAGTCATCCTGGTGAATCATCGTGTTACCAGTCGCTATGTGCTGATTACGACTGGTGATAAGTGTGTGTGTGTGTGTTGGGTAAGAGACTGGGTGCTCTTTGTGTGTTATGTAGGGATAAAGGAGAGAGGAGGGGGGAAGGGGAGAGAGGAGGAAGGAAGGGGAGAGAGGAGGAAGGAAGGGAAGAACGAAGGAGGAGGCGACAATAACAATTACATCTATTTTTATTCGCTGTTTGTCTCTGTGGACGAACTGTCACCTGGGCGGGGGGTAGAGAAGGTGCCCTAAACATAGCCTGCCTCAAGAACCAACCTGACATAGCAACCGCACCCATTAAGGTCATCCTTGTGCTGTCGAAAACATAACCACAGGTCAATAACAAACTTTACAACCTCTTATGGTCGCTGCATGGAATGTCAGGACCCTTCTGGATACTGGCACAAGTGAGCGTCCTGAAAGAAGAACCGCTCTTGTGGCAAAAGAGCTGGCTGGGAATAACATCGACATAGCAGCCATAAACGAGTCCCGGCTCCCAGACGAGGGTCGACTCACAGAACGGGGGTCTGGCCTTGCTGCGGAGAGAAACCGTATTTATGGAGTGGCTTTGCCGTTCGCCTATCCATCCTACATAGGCTAACTGAAATACCTGTTGTGACTCAGCGACGATGCCGGCTAGGAATTTAGAGGTCGCCAGTCTGTGTGGCTTATAATTGGCGTGAACCCGAAGACTCTTGAACCTGTGAAACCGAGACATCACACAGTACCCATAGATGGCTCACTGGGTCGTGTGATGTCTCCGATTCACTTGTCTCAGGGATCATGGATGGGACACAAGCCTAACAGGACTTTCTCTGCGACTACAAATGTTTCAGTAATTGTGTAATTATGGATATCAGCTTTTTCAATCAAGTATTATTTTTTTATTTTATTTTTAGACCCAAGTTTTATTTCTAAATCCTTCACCTGTAGTTCCAACATTTATTTTCAAATCGAAGTCTCAAGTTTCATTTTTGTTTTCAGAATAAAGGTTCACATTTTTATAACCCAATTACACCCAAGTTTAATATCTAATTTTCTCTCAATGTTCAAAATTAAAAAAATAAATAAAAATAGTTAAACAAAACTAAAAATCCCAAAGGTATTAAAACTTTATTCAAATTACAAAAGAATTCAGATAATTCGGTTTACAAAAACAAATCAGTTCATATCTAAAAGATTGATTATACTAAAAAAATTCAAAATACAAGTCAGTTTTAAAGATCCTTGTTTACATTAACAAAAGTTCATAATAAACTAATTTTACTGAAAGTTCATTCAAAATAAAAGTAAAGTATAAAGATTGTTTACATCAACAAATAAATTCACAAAGTTCTTATCTAAAATACCAATTTTACTGAAAGTTTATTCAAGTTACAAGTCAAATTAAAGATTGTTTACATTAATAAATAAATTCATGAAAACATTGCTAAAAGTTTTTTCAAATTACAAGTCAAATTTAATGATTGTTTACATTAGTAAATTCATATGAAAAATTACTTACAGTATGAATATTCTAAATGCAATTCAATTTTCAAGATCCTGTTTACGTTAATAAAATGATAAAAATATTTTACTAAAAGTTTATTCAAAATACAAGTAAATTTTAAAAGATTGTTTACATCAACAACAAATCGATTCATAAAAAAATTGCTAAAAGTTTATTCAAATTAGTCAATTAAGATATATCCTGTTTACATTAACAGGTTAATTCTTATCTAAAACATTATTGGAATAACAAAACATTCCTAAATTTCAATAAAAACTAAAAAAAACTGAAATACAAGCGAGCTAAAAACTTAAACCTCAGTAAAAAAAACATTAATAAAGGAAAGGCGATCCAATAGTACTGTGATCTAGTCGAATTTCCTCATTGTGTGTGTTTACATTGTCCACTGAAGGCAGTTGGGTAATACTCTGCTTGACATACGTGGCCAGTTTTCTATACTACACTGGTCTTATCACGAACGCAAGAGTATGCAATCTATCAGAAATGGCTGCGATTTTTTTTCTGCTCCCTTCAGCAACATTAAGAGTAAATCATACAAGATAAGCTATTGAAAGTAGCCATGTTGTGTGACTTCTAGATGTCAGGTTTATGCACGCACGCACGCACACGCACACACATACATACATACATCAAGGAACAGTTCACACTATTACAGGAACATTAGGCACTTGTCTGTACAAGGAAGGTTCCCGTGATGTTCCTCCGCTCAGCTTCCTACTCGTCCTGTTTGCCTCCTTCCATCTGTTGGCCAACTGCACCGAACTGTTGTCCAGCTGCGTCATACGGCTGGCCAACTGCACCGAATTGTCCAGCTGCATCGTACTGTTGGCCAACTGCACCGAATTGTCCTGCTGCATCGTACTGTAGGCCAACTGCACCGAATTGTCCAGCTGCATCGAACTGTTGTCCAACATCACCGAATTGTCCAGCTGCATCGAACTGTTGGCCAACAGCACCGAATTGTCCAGCTGCATCAAACTGTTGGCCAACAGCACCGAATTGTCCAGCTGCATCAAACTGTTGGCCAACAGCACCGAATTGTCCAGCTGCATCAGACTGTTGGCCAACTGCACCAAACTGTTGTCCAGCTGCGTCAAATCGTCCAGCTGCATCTTGTTGCTGGGCCATTTTCTGTCGGGCGGCAGCAACCAGTTGCTCCATAGCGAGCCCAGTGGCGTACTCCAGCTGTTTATAAACGTACAGAGGAAGCTTATGTATGTCCACCTCCAACATCCCAGCTGCATCTGTTGTCATGCCAGTCACCTGCAGCACCAGCTGCCAGAACTCTGCAGCATTCAGTATATTCTGCCTGCATACCCCGACAGTTTGTTCCTGTAGGAGGGGGACAAGAGGTGGTGGTGGTAGTAGAAGTGGTGGTAGAGGTGGTGGTGGTAGAGGTGGTGGTGGTAGTGGTTGTAGAAGTGGTGGTGGTGGTGGTGGTAGAAGTGGTGGTGGTGGTGGTGTAGAGGTGAGGGTGGTAGAGGTGGTGGTAGAAGTGGTGGTGGTGGTAGAATGGTGGTGGTGTGGTGGTGGTGGTAGTAGAAGTGGTGGTGGTAGTAGAAGTGGTGGTGGTGAAGGGGTGGTGGTAGAAGGGGAAGAAGAGGTGGTGGCTCCCTTGATGATGGGTCCTTTGGTCGGACCGAGGGTTCTGATGGACCCGGCCATGGTTCCATTGATTGGGACAAGGTTACTATTGGTCGAGACGGGATTCCCAGTGAACGGAGAAGCGAGGGTTCCAGTGATTGGGAAGGCAAAAAGTCCAGTGATCGGGAAGGTGAAAAGTCCATTGACCGTGGAGGAGAGGGTCCCCTTTCCCGACTTGGGGATTTGGCAAAACGCTCCGTGACCTTACCAGGTGACCAGCTAATTAACTCTCTCTCACCTGGGGTCAAGTCATCAAAGAGATCATCACTACTTGTGAAATGTGGTCCAAAAGGACTCTCTACCTGGCTGGGTGATCCAAAAAGTCTCCCCACCTCGCTGGGTGACCCACAAAGACTCCCCACCTCGCTGGGTGTTCCAAAAAGACTCCCCACCTCGCTGGGTGACCCACAAAGACTCCCCACCTCGCTGGGTGTTCCAAAGAGACTCCCCACCTCGCTGGGTGTTCCAAAAAGACTCGACACCTCGCTGGGCGACCCAAAAATCTGTCTGAACTCACTCGAGGTAGCAAGAAGATAATCGGCTACATAACAGGCAAACTCAAAGACCCCATCTGTTACTTGGACGGGGGTGTCAGCTTCCGGTTCCATTTTCATTTCAGGGAATCCGGGCGGTGGTTCTACTGCCCTGCTTGGCGATCCAGATTTCGGTTCCACTGCCCTGCTCCGTGATCCAGGATTCGGTTCCACTGCCCTGCTCCGCGATCCAGGATTCGGTTCCACTGCCCTGCTCCGTGGTCCAGGATTCGATTCCACTGCCCTACTTGGCGATCCAGATTTCGGTTCCACTGCCCTGCTTGGTGATCCAGATTTCAGTTCCACTGCCCTGCTTGGTGATCCAGATTTCAGTTCCACTGCCCTGCTTGGTGATCCAGATTTCGGTTCCACTGCCCTGCCCCGTGATCCAGGATTCGGTTCCACTGCCCTGCCCCGTAATCCAGGATTCGGTTTCATTGACTCTTCACCAAACCCAGATGTTAGTGTAGGATTCGTTGTTTCGGACACCAACCCAAAGTCAGGATCGTAGGCTATGAGGGGCGCCCCAAGGAAAGGACTTGTACCCTTACCATGACTTCCCGGAGGCGCGTCGACTGCCCTAAAAGACTTGGGTATTGGCCTGACGATCTTGGTGGATACTGCACTTGGTACCCAGCAGGTGGGTCTTGCTGGCTGGGTACTACAAGGTGGTGAAGTCTGCCTGGGTGAGCTACTGCAGGTGAAGTCAGGTTGGGGGGTGTCTGGACGCCTAGGAGTCCCGAATAGGGGGTGCTCGGCACGGTCAGGAGACCCGAGTGGGGGGTACTCTGCATAGCTGGGAGACCAGAGTGGGGGGTACTCTGCATAGCTGGGAGACCAGAGTGGGGAGTACTCTGCATAGCTGGGAGACCCGAGTGGGCGGTACTCGGCACGGCTAGGAGACCACCAGAGTGGGGGCTGTTCTGCGCGGCTAGGAGTCCCGCGTGCGGGGTGTTCTGCACGGCTAGGAGACCCGAGTGGGGGGTGTTCTGCACGGCTAGGAGACCCGAGTGGGGGGTGTTCTGCACGGCTAGGAGACCCGAGTGGGGGGTGTTCTGCACGGCTAGGAGACCTGGAGTGGGGGGTGTTCTGCACGGCTAGGAGACCTGAGGGGGGGGTGTCTCTGCACGGCTAGGAGACCCGAGTGGGGGTGTTCTGCACGGCTAGGAGACCCGAGGGGGTGTCTGCACGGCTAGGAGACCCGAGTGGGGGGGTGTCTGCACGGCTAGAGACCTGAGTGGGGGGTACTCTGCACGGCTAGGAGACCCGAGTGAGGGGTACTCTGCACGGCTAGGAGACCCGAGCGGGGGACATTTTGCACGGCTAGGAGACCCGAGTGGGGGGTACTCTGCACGGCTAGGAGACCCGAGTGGGGGGTACTCTGCACGGCTAGGAGAACCGAGTGGGGGGTACTCTGCACGGCTAGGAGACCCGAGCGGGGGGTACTCTGCACGGCTAGGAGACCCGAGCGGGGGACATTTTGCACGGCTAGGAGACCCGAGTGCGGGGTATTCTGCACAGGTAGGAGACCAATTGCTAAACTTCTCCATATATAACTCTCCAACCTGTCCGGTCTCCTCGTTCAAGTTTAAGTTACCTAACATTTGCCTTACTTCCTCATCCAGGGTAGAGACCTTTTTCTCTCTGTCACCTTCCAGACTGACCGTTTCGCTCCAGTGTCCGTCAAAGAACTCGGCGAGGTCTAGTCCAGCATAGGGTCGTCCGTGTTCAAGTAGCTCCTCATGTTGCCTCTCCTTCTCTAACCTGACGGGGCAGTCGTAGCTCAGGGAGGTGTGGTTACCTTCACAGTTTACGCAGCGGATGGCGTCTCTGTTATGACAATTACGGGCTACGTGTCCGACTTTGCTGCAGATGAAACAGGATTTTTGCGTTCCAGTACATCCATTTTCGCCGTGGTCGTACGAGAAGCAGCTAGTACATTGTTGTAGCTTCGTCAACATCATCTTCCGTAGGTACTTGAGTTCCCTGCCGTTTGCCAACAAGATGCCAGTTTTGGAGGTGTATAGTTTGTCCGCCTCCTCAGGGCTATCAAACTCTATCCAGATCGACTCGGAACACCTCGACTTGACAATGACATTCCTGGTATTATTACATTTCTCCAACTCTACAGCCAGACCCTCGAGTGTCTTACCCCCGAGAGCTCCCCAGATGTTGTAGCAAATGAGGGTACACATGACACGGTAATGAGGCGTCTTGGCCAGCGTGAAGCCTCGGGTCCCCATGGCGTCCCTCACCGCAGGTTTCATCACCTGGAACACATCGTTGTAGCTGCGGAGGTTTAGCGTCCAGCCAGTGTAGGTGTGTTTACAGGAGACCACAGTGAGTCCTGACACAAGATGGAAGACATTCAGTAGGTTGTCCTGATCCCGAGGGGGAGTCTCGTTGTCCTGCACCTTGACGAAGGGCATGGCTGCTGTGTGGTGGAGGACGACGTCGACCGCCACGAACAACAAATGTCGCCGACAGGCCAACACTGACCACTACCCTCAGGATGGCTACAATATTCTCTACAAGACTCATTCGGCAAACTTGAACTGTCCACCGAGAGAACCGGTGCTCGAATCCCAAACCAATCCTTTAGGTACCCCCATAATCTTTTAAAACAACCTAACTAACTTCTAAAAAACAAATACCAATAATACACCACTAACTAAAAACAAATAAATAATATTAGTTCATTAAAATAATACGTATATACAACCAAATTAATTCCAAATAATTTAATGAACAAGGTGGGGTTATTTAAGCAGTAGTTATCAAAGAATTTTGTGGGTTACAGGAACTTATAGAAAATACAATGGCAATATACAGAATACCAAGTAATTTTTATATTGCTAAACACATTATACGGTGTCTCAAAAAATATATTGAGATTACTCTACAGATTTTCGAGGTGATCGCGTGAACTTTTTCATTAACACAGCAACATTGTCCTACTCACTTTTTTATATTACTGTATTATTATTATTATCGTTATTATTATTATTATTATTATTGTCGTATATATTAAAATTAATGCTCCTTTAATAATTGAATCCTGAACACATAAAACTTGGAATCGAATCATCTGTTCCAATATTTTTTCGAGGGATTGATTCGAAAAGTTTCTCAAGTCGTCATTCAGGCAGGAAATATTTTCAAACGGTAATTTTGTATCGTCTGTTTTATTTATAATTAAACCAACACGGGGATAATACTTTTAAATTATCAGAAAAGTTTTTATTTTTAATTATTTCTGAGTCTGTTAATGAGTTCTGATTTATTTTATTTTTATGTTTTTTATTTTTTAAATGACTGGTTTGACTTAACGTTGAGTGGTTGCCAGGGGTACGATAAGTAATCAAAATTCGTCTAAAACCACACTAAATAATAGTTTCTAAATCCTTTTATTATCACATATGAAAGTAAATATTCCAAACTATATAATTATATATATATTAAATGAACAAAAGTGTATGTGTGAGTGACGAGTGAGTGAGTGTGTGAGTGTGATTGACTGAGTGTGAGTGAGATTGAGTTTTGAGTGAGAAAATGAGAGTGATTGTTTAAGTGAATGAGCGTGAATGAGTGGGACTGAGTGAAAGTGAATGAGTGGGACTGAGTGAAAGTGAATGAGTGGGACTGAGTGAAAGTGAATTAGTGGGATTGAGTGATACGAATGACAATGAAAATACGAGTAAACGAGCCCAGCCCATGAGTGCATCCGAATGAGTGAATAGGGATGAATAACACTATCCCAGGAAGAATAAATTAATAAATAAATAATTATAAATAACACTACAGTTTTAAAAGATCGTTGCTACACCAGGAAACAAACTACCACCGCTAATTACCATATGTCAACAAGACCTCACTCCTACCCCTCCTCCCTCATCCCCCACTACCACAAACCTGCCTATGTGGTCAACTGGTATCACTTCCTGTACTGGGTTTCAAATTTATTGTCTGTCAGTCTGTCTGTCTGTTTATGTACGTAAAAATAAGCTGGGGTGGTGATTCTTCAAGTGAAATAAGCTGGGGTGGTGATTCTTCAAGTGAAATAAGCTGGGGTGGTGATTCTTCAGGTGAAATAAGCTGGGGTGGAGATTCTTCAGGGGTTCCCATACTATTTACTGTTCTGTTTGATTCACTTGTAAATAATGAAAGACTTGTGACGTAAAAAAGGATTTATTGGTAATTAAGAAAGTCAATTTTGTTTGGTGGAAAGCTTGAAGACTACCTACCAGGGTGTATCTCTACTCAGCTTGCTCAAAACTCGCCATGTTTGGTCTTGCGGAGGTCCACAGCCTTGGTACTAAAGCTTTGTTGTTTTAGCCAGCACGCTTTGTTGTGTGTGTGTGCCTCGGTGCTGATGAAGGTATATACAGGATGGATGTTTCTCTCTCTCTCTCTCTCCTTCTGTAAACCGGAGACCAATCGCCCCAATGGCTAGTAAGCTGATAAGTGTCGAAATTATTATTATTTTTTAAATCGTCTGTGGTGATGGTGGTGGTAGTGGGCAGACGGGAATAGTTCGTGTTGTGGATACTGGATAAAGGCCTGAGAATCACCCCTATTGAGTCATATTCCATTATAACCTTTATATCATGGAGCCATACGACCTAGAATTACATAAGACACTATCAGAGACTATAAACATGCTATTTTTACCTCTAATGTCTGTTATTCTACGTGTTATATTACCTTCCTTCTTTCATTTCTTAATTTAGCACAAGTTTATGCTATGGTTTACAAGGCCAGTTTATTCCATGACATTTGAATTAGCTCAATGATAGGACGTGCATATTAAGTCGGTAGTAATAGAAAATAATATATAATAAAGATAAGTGATAGTGGGTCTTATATCACGAGGCCAGAGAGGTAATAGTCGCCTGAGGTGGGTTGTGTTGGCGCGGGGTGATGCCAATCGACTCGACTCAACTGCCACTAGCATGACGATTCACTTCTATATCCTCTCCTCTACCACCAGTTAACCCAAGACGTGGTTTATGCTTTAGTTTATTACATTATCTCTTCATTCGTTTATATATAAGAATATTTTAGAGATTATTTGATGTTTTTCAGACCAGTTTGTACCCAGGAAGATCTGAGGAGGTGAAACTGTGAGGGCGCCGCCATGCAGATATTCTAGGAAGTGTTGTTGGCGATATGACAGGCTCATATAAATCATTCATTAAGTTTCCTGGATACCTTGCTTACTGGAACACCATGTATTCCAGTACTAAAAAATCGATTGCTCATAGAATACATTCAACCTCTTTTGCTATTTACGAACCGGAGATAAAAGATGTGAAGGTCAAGCTTGCCATCCTGACATCACATATCACATTAAACACCATACGACATCTATACAACATACTGAAAATAAACCCTGTTGAATAACATGACAAACTATACATTCAGAATGTGTATTAATGTAAGGATTGGTTGATGTTAAGTACAAGCAAACAGTATATATTAGAGCCAGAGACGAGGGCTTGGCAACGCATCACACTACGTCAGCAAGACCCCACCCTAGTGAGCCTTCGCCTTGTTGGTATGTGACTGACTGAGCACTGAGTTGAATGAGTTCCCGATACCATTGCGTCGTGTTTCACCTATAGCATAGCAAGAGCATGTGTGACGTTATATCATCTGATACGATAAGCAGTTCAAACCAAATATGGGAAAATTATGCAATTATATCGAAGCAATTGCAGTCATAGATAAATAATTAACCATGCATTGGGTTAATTTGTTTAGTTGCTAGTTTAAATTATAACAAACGACTAGACTGATGACTCACAAGCCAGTTTACGAAACATTTCAGACTAAAGAACAACCCGATTCACGTCCGGCAGGAAACGCTTGCTCAAGTCATCCGGTTTCATGTTTTTATACTTGTTTATTCTTGATGATGGTTTCAAATTTTATACATCCAGATCTTCATTTGTTTCTTTAATAGCACTCGATACTAAACAAACTAGGCTTTATGCCATAATACCTCTATCGTAACCACGGCAACAGTAAGGGTTATCTTATCCAGGTGTCTCAAAGGTCATTAAAGTTGAAGCTCTGGGCAGGTATAAGCTGTACGAAACCACAATAAAAAAAAGTAAAGTACTTTTTCTACCCCAACTTCGAAGTAACGTGAGCAGCTTGAAACTGGCATTTAATATTACGGAAATTGCGCTCTCGGTACCACTGCGCTTCTTAGAGTACAATTGCGTATGCAAATTCCCTAAACACTTGACAGTATCTTCCTATTTTTGTTTTATTTTCCGTCATTTTGGTTTTAGTTTAATCTTTTCATCACAAAATGGGGAAAATCCTTAATATAGAGAAAATCTGAAAACCTGCCGTGTCGAAGGAATTTTATCCACAACTTAACGATTTTTACACCAGCTGAAACTCCCTGATCATTTCCCCGCGTTGGTAAGGCTTGGTTGATGACCTTCACAGCTTTTTCTAATACTCATAACACAAGTGACTCAAGATCAGGTTCCACTGTTCTTGACCAATATATATAAGACCAGATGTGAACACTGACATACATGTTGTCTCGTCTAGCAAGGATACCGTGATGCAGAGTGTAATTGATTTTTTTATAGTTAAATTTGTACTTATGCTTGGTTACAACAATATAACCACAGAAATATTGCCTTCTATTTGTTGCTTCATTTACTAACAAAAAATTAATTCGCAAATATTGTGTTAAATTGTTACGAACGCCTATATCATTTGTATAATTCAACATCTAGTTAAAATAATCACGGTTTGTACGCTTGACACAGCAGCTGGGCAACTTTCCATTATAAATTTAAAATATCTTTTATTCCAAATACGCAATAGTTCGTTCTCTTGTTATATGATATAATTTAGTTAATACAAAGGGAGGGTATTGTTGTCTAGACAAGGATGGACGGAGGTGCGTGTTCTCCTTTCCTTGGAAAGTTTCAAGCCTCACAGTCAACTAAGTCTTTGACGTCATCTGATTGACGTCATTGAGTATTGTAGCAAATACTGATTGTTTATCTTGTGTCGGTTGTTTTCTTTACTTCTTCAACAACCTTGTTCTCTTACGTAACTCATTTCTGATAAGCGTTTTGTTTCTGATTAGATTCGTTTACCGGCCTCCTATAGCAAAGGGCCGTCCACACGTCCATAGCCCCCCACAACACATGTATGACCATTTACCATAATTCTTATTCCTCACAAATAAAGAAGAATGAGTGAGGGTTTTAACACTACATTCCTTTATTAACTAACAGTAAATAAATAAATAAACTACTATATCCCTTTAATAACTAAGAGTAAGCTTCATTCATAAAAAAAAACATGAAATAAGTAGATAAACTGTTTCAATATCAACATGTAATTCCCGACCTTAACACCCAAGAAATAAGTCAGATAATGACACAACAAAACAAGATTCACTGACAACTCCTGTATGACGTTTAGGGTTTCCTCACAATCATCTCATCTCAGAAACCCCCACAGGCATATTAATTACTGTTTATTGCATTTCTTTGAGATCTCCAACCCCAGTTTATTTCACCTGAAGATTAACCATGACACTATTTAAGGGGTGAGGTTAGGTTAGGAGAGGTTAAGTTATGTTAGGTCGTTAGATTAGGTTAGTGTAGGGTGGTTAATCTTGAGGTGAAATAAGCCTTGGTGGAGATTCCTCAGGTTGTCTGTGGCGTCCCGTAGTGAAGGTTGCAGGAATATAATCACAGAATATTTGACTTCCTGGCGAAAACTGATTGTTACAGCTTAACGCATATCCTGACAGCTCGGCGCAGTATTCCTCTCGTCCGTCTCACAACAGGCAGGGCTCGCGGTAACCTTGCCAACATGAACAGCTGCCTGGCCTTCTGCCTCTATTGCCCACTGCCTCAACAAGGACTACAACACTCTATAAATAGTTTAGGCTCGTCATCCACTGCCCATTATTGACCTTATAGCTATCAAAACACAGTACAATAATGCATTATACCATCAATAACAACACCCTTTACTAACAATGACATCAGAATTTGCTATGATCTGTAACTTGTATTCTCAATAATAGCTGCAAAAACGCATCTTGTTAGAGGAGAGTTTCAGTATAATTTCTCCGAGATATTTTGGACGCTTGATCGTTCCTGCATCGTATTTTTAAGTAAACATATTAATTTTATTCCTTTTAAATCCCACTTTACGATGTACAGTATAGAAGTAAAATACTGGATCTTAGTGGAGAGAAATTCCTTCATCCTTACATATTAACAATCACACTTGACCTTTACCTATCATGTATATTGATTGACTCGTAATCCGATCTTAGCCTATGATGCATGCTGATTGGTAATTTGACTTCATCCTATCATCTGTACTGATTGGCAGTATTTTGTTTCAGATGGTGATGAGTGTTTGTTGAACAATTTGCCATCCTGAAGTAGCCAGAAAAAATAGTTAGGATTAAAAGCATAAAATTACCAATCAAAAGTTAAATTTATATGATCATAATTGACTTCAAGGGCACAGTGTTAACAGTTTGAAATCTTGAAACTCTGCAGTATCATTCTATATATAAATACATCAATTATCAATCATTTAACGTATTACTCTTATCTTTATTTGAATCAACTGAAAATTTTCCACCCTAGCTTAATTTCACCAAAGATTAACCTACACGAAACCACTTCAAAGCCTTGCGATAGGCTCAAGTACTTCCCCAAACATTAATAGAGAGACTAAACTCTATTCTAGTCGGCCAGCTACTGATGAACTTGGAAATACTTGGCTAGGGTTTTTTATCCACTTAAAGTATCGTATCGTCGGTAGAGAACATACCACATAGCCAAAATTACCCGCGATCGTTTGTTGTACTAAAATGAAATAATTAAAATATCTGGGAATGGTTCTTAATGTAATTTTGTTATAGAGAGCTGTTTGTGTTAGTAACCGGAAAAAAAATGACGTTCACACCCAGAGGTTGGTTTATCCACCGTACGCATGCGCACTAAGAGAACATTGACGTGTCACATTGAATACAAACCCCAAGATTATTTAGTTTATTTCAATCAGAACTTCAGTATTATTATCTTTTTATATACAATCATTAAATGTACTCTTTTATACATAGAAGGAAAATTCGCTTATAATCTTACGTCCATCGTTTACCGGGATTTACATCAAAGTGTTGGGGGGTTCTCAGAAAGGGTGACACGTACGGCCCAGAGTTGTGACGTAGTAGCTTTCCCCACCAGCTGGCCAACACATGTATTGATTACTGGTACGGTGACACCTGCTCCCGGCGACCTGTGTGTGTGTGTGAGTGTGAGTGTACATTTAATTGTATGTACTTGACATTATTAGGGACCTGCCACGCTTTGCCATAAACAGATGAAATGTACCGGGAATTCCCCACACACACACACACACACTCATCATTCTGTCACTTTATGTAACTTGCTGGCAAAACCCATGACCCTTCAGGCCTTTACGCCTTTAATGCATGAGTCATAAAGGCAAGCATGAACTCTGCATGCTTCCCAGTTGGGCGCTGTAAACGCTTCTGCGCTTCACCTTGCACAGGATGTAAGGGGGTGCCCAATAAACTAGCCCCCTCCACCTCCTGGGCAATCTGTAATCTGTAATCTTGTATGTGTGTGCATTTGCTTGTTTGTGTGTACTGTATATGCATTTGCTTAATTTTACTTGTTTATGTGTGTGTGTATTTGTCTGTGTATGTGTGTGTATATTCGCCTGTGTGTGTGATATTACAGGTTTTATGAGTGTATGTTGGTATGTATAATAAACATTCATGTGGATGTATAATACGTAGGAAACAGTTAAAACAGTCACCCTAATTAAGACATGTAACTCCGTGTTCGTATCCGTATTTGTTTGTCCTCGCTAATTAGTTGACGTAAACAGATAACACCTGTAGATAAATCCTTATTGACTACACCTGTCACCTAACCAACGCAACAAAACAAATATTGAGGATTTTACTGATATTTATGAAGATCTATAGTTAAAATAATATAAATAACAAAATATTTACCCTTAGCCTAGTGCTTTGGTAATGAAAAATATTCATTTAGCCTTATCTATGGTTGTACTGGTAATCATATTGTGTGACCTATAAAAGTAACCTATCTCTTAACAGAGCTACGTGACCTGTTTCTTTGTTTAAGGTTATACTGTATGTTGTAAGTGCACTTTGTCACACAGTTGTGAGTTATCGTGCCTCCCTATCATGTCACCGCCACCAGAACCCAGCCACCCCTCCCTACCCCCCCACCCCCGATTTCTCACTGCTTGTGTTGCCAGATACGAGATACTTCACTGCCTGTCTTGTTAATCAATATTCAGGGCGTTTTAGGGTAGTTTAGGGGAGGGGTGAGGGTTTTAGGGCTAGCTAAGAGATTTTGGATCTATATCAATAGTAAATAGAATGATCCACTCCATCTGTAAATCTCTAACCTATGAAAGTCAACCATTCAACTCAAACTGTAGAATAGAGAACATAACTACAGTCGGTTTCAAAACAGTCCTACACAACACCATCAAGAACAATGGCCACTCCTAGCTTAGTTGGCCATGGGGTAAAAAGATATCCTGTTAACAGAAATCCAGGCCTGTCCTTGGCCGAGTCGATTTTACTGTTCACCAATGTTCATATACCTGCACTGTCTATGTATAAGTTGAAGCAATGTGAATTTCTAGAATGATTTTACTAACTAAAAAAAATAAATATAAGAGTTGTCCTTTATCTTGCTGTCTCGAAGCCTCTAGAACTGAATAAACGTGGCGTTGCATATTTCTCAGTACGTTATCTATACCTTAACCGACCAGATACCGTTCAATAGATAACAAAATATTTAACGATATTCCAAAAGGAACTCTACATAAGAACATAAGAATGGAGGAAACTGCAGTGGGCCTATTGGCCCATACTGGGCAGTCCCATTTACGCCCAACCCCTATTGCTCATATTTCCATCCAACCTATGTTTGAAGCTATGCAGCGTGTTCGAGTTAATGATGATGTTTGGTAACTTGTTCCACTCATCCACTACTCTATTTCCAAACCATTGTTTACATATTTCGCGCCTAAATCTAAATTTGTCTAATTGAAAACCATTGTTACGAGTTCGCTCCTGGTTGGATAGTTTGAGTACCTTTGTAATGTCCCCTTTGTTCAGCCCTGACTTCCATTTATACACCTCTATCATATCGCCCCTCTCTCTACGTCTCTCGAGGGAGTGCAAATTAAGATGCTTTAACCTGTCTCTATACTCAAGGTTCCTAATGCCCGGGATTAGTCTTGTCATTCTCCTCTGAATTCTTTCCAAGGATTCTATATCCATTCTGTAATACGGTGACCAGAACTGAACTGCGTAATCCAGGTGTGGTCTCACAAGAGCAAGATACAGTTTTAGGATGACCTCGCTAGTCTTGTAACTAACACTCCTTTGTATGAACCCAAGTACTCTATTAGCCTTGTTTCGAGCAAATACACATTGTTTACTTGGCTTAAGGTTCCTACTTATCATTACTCCTAAATCTCTCTCGCAGTCGAATTTCTCTATGGCATCGTTGTTCATCTGGCATCTGGTTTCCCTGTTTACATCTCCTATACTGAGTACTTTACATTTTTCCACGTTGAATCTCATCTGCCATTTTTCAGACGATTCGATTTAATTACACACCTATTTTAGTGTCATCAGCAAATTTACTTATGTTGCTGCCTACGCCGATATCTTTGTCGTTTATGTATACAATAAATAATAATTTATCAACACAAAACTGTGATATATATGTTATGGCAACGCCTTCATGACGGAAATCCTATTTGATAATGTAATCAACATAAAAACTCATAATATACACAAATTCACTATTAAAATCATCTATGTAAATATTAATAAGAAAACTAACAAACATTATATATGAAATTGATCTGAAATATCAATAAAACTCGTAAAATTCCTTCAATATACCAAATAACTTCTGACAACATCGATGGCAACACTCATCACAAAATGGTCCGAATTATAAAAAAAAATTCCATTACTCTTTTCTCCCAGTGTGTTTCATCATTTAGGTAAAACCAACACGTTGAGTTTGACAACACATTTGGTGATAACTGAGTGATAAAGCCTTATACGTAGTGATAAATTGTTACGTCAAGACGCTCACACTGTTAAATATGTTTGATCAGGCATCATACATCGCCACACACTTTACAACTAGAATGATCAAACTTCACTTGGTACCTGGTACAGCCTTGGACTGGGTGACAGCATGAGTAAGGGGGCAGCCTGTTTGCTATAAAACAGAGACCTCAAAGAAAAACTGAAAAAGAAAATTATGGATGAAGGAATGGCACAGAAAAGGACCCAAGTTCTCTCACGACGCCCTACTAGTGGTTCCTAGTATTTAGTACAATAATTGCATAGTAAATGAATTGCATAAAATTTAACTTAACTAATATTGTTACCCATTAAAAGAAAATATTCCCATTAAAATTTATTCTTTAAGAAATACAGTATCACCAGAAATATCATTATAATCTATACTGGGGATCATTGAAAAGATCCGTAAATTAATCTTGTACACTCACTCCAGGGCCAGCAGTGTTTTGTACAGAAATAATAGGTGTCTATATATTTCCCCCTGGTGAAGACCTGGTGTTGGAGGAATTATCAAAATGTGTGCCTGGAAGAGGTGTTGATGATCCGCTTAATTGCTCAATATTTGGTTCATTTATTTTCACAGAGTGCCTGTGTAAAGTACCTAAACGACCCTCAAAGAGAATGTCGTTTATTGCCTTTCTAGCATAAATTTGCTGCTGCTCACGTAATTTTCTGAATTCTGCAGCCCAACTTTTTGCCAGAATATCTATTGGATCATCACTTCGACTCAGATGACTGCATGCTAACTGTAAGAGTTCATTTCTTTTAGCCTCGGCATTATTCTTCAGTCTTTTGCTGGGCACCTGGGTCGCTATTTTCACGGAACTGCTGCTACCTCCACTTGTACTTGCTTCCTGTTAAAAGAGGAGTTAATAGGCAAATAAGGATAGATATTTTTTTTAATTGATGTTAATGTCGATGCAAAGGATAACACCTGACACTTCCTATTCCCATTGTTCACAGATGCCGCAGGTTGAAGAGGAATGGAGGCGCGCAGCCAAGTCACTTCAAGGATCGTGAAATTTCCCACACTGTATCTGGGCCGTAGACGGAAAACATGTCGAGATAACCAAGTCCTCTGGATCTGGACCATACTAATTTAACTATAAACACACATTTAGTGCAGTTTTAATGGCAGGTGTTAATGAATTTATGATGGTAGAAGCAGGAACAAATGGTAGGGTATCAAACGGAGGCGTTTTCGACAACACCAAATTCTGTAAACAGCTGAAGGAGAAAACATTATATATCCCTTTACAAAGAAGAGGACATATACAGTTACAGGGTATCATGAGCCCGTCGTGTTGTGGAAAACGCCTTCTGAATATTGGCATCTTGGTTTCGGATTCTTGTGAGTACTATCAACCTCTGTCCAGCAAGTGTCAACAACAGTCATGGCACGTCAGAGAAATGTCGCCCTATATTTGGAAGATGTAATTGACAAATACTAGGCAAATTAGAGAAGGAAGTTGGAGGAAATAAGGGATACTTATTGTAACTATTTCAATAATGTCGGGTCACTGGCCTGGTAGGAAACTAAAATTCGGGGGCATAATTGAGTTGCAGGAGTAATATTAAATGTTCTAATATAGAGCCATATTGCAAAATGTACTGGAGTAAGGTGTTCATTAATACAATTAGTACATAAACTTACAAAGTTATCCATTGATTTTTCATTTCCATTTTCCTCTTCATCGCTGTCCATGGTAGACACTCCTCCTTCCTGGATTTCTTGATCTCGCAGGAAATGTAGATCATTGTAAAACCATAGAGACGGTTGGTAGATGTCGTCGGTGCCTGCGTCAGACTTTTCACTAAGTAGAACTTTCTTTAGTTCCCTCCTGTAGCTGGTGCGGAAGGAATTAATTTTCTTAGTCACTGTGGCCTTGGTCGCAGTAGGGATGATATCTTTCATCTTTTCCACCAATTTCCCATAACATTCTTGTTTAAGGGGTCTATTCTTGTAATCTTCACTTTTTATTTGCCACAATGATGGAAACTGCTTATAAAGTTCAATAAACTCTCTCCAAAACTCGTGGGAGTCCCGTACGCTCGCCATGGCTGCTGCTACTCGACTGAGCATGTTTGATCATACATTGCCACACACTATCCAGCATGTTTGACAAACGTCATGTTGGACGAGAAAATATCAAACTTGTTTAATTTTCTTCAAACATGTTGGTCATACCTTCAAATTTGCCCACACTCTCTCAAATTGTATGATCAAACACCGAGTTTGACAAACGATAACTTGACAACTGCGTAAGGTCGTTTCATATTTTACGATAACCGTCTAGGCTTTTAGTTCCTTCTTCGTCCAGCAAAATGGTACGCGTTATTTTATAAAAGATAATATATAAGGTTATTCATTTACGATAAATTATCCCCATTCCCCATCCATCCTCCTCCCTCCCTCCATCTTCATTAACGATATTATTCACTATAAATAATAACAAAACATGAAAGTAATCAAAACAAAACAAGAAAATAACCAAACAAAACAATCAATCAAGCAAATAAAAACAAAATATGAAAATAATATTAAGGTTTACATATGAGAGGCCACAGTTACCAATTCTTATGATAGATGACAACTGATGGTGATCTGGCAACACCTATTATAGTTTAGTAGTTCATGACCTAAAACTGTTGGGTACACACGACCACGGCGCCTTAACTGGTACCCTGCTGTCTCTGGTACGTAAAGCAATAGGTATCCATTAATATTGAATTGTCTCTGGGTCTTTAAATAATAATTGGCTGGTTTCTAGATTTACACATGTTTATTTTTCGCTCTCATACGCCATATTGTTTTAATTATCTCATCTCTCATTGGTTAATAAGTCTACCAATCAGATCTCGTTTTTTTTATGGATATATCTATTGTCGGTGAATATAAATTGTCCCTCTGTTCCTATTACCAAACATCCAGTGTCGGTCAGGAGGGGAATACTGCAACACTATTGATCTTTAAGGGGGAGGGGGGGTTTGACCACTCCAATGATAGCTGTGTGTGTTGTAACAATGGTGCCAGAGTCTAGAGCAGTTGATTAGTTCTCGTGGTATGACGTCACTCAAAGCCCGCCAATCAAGCAACGCCACGTCTACCATCAGCTTAATTATGTCATCTAATCAAAGCTGACTTAAATGAATGTAACTTAACCTAAGCTGATATAACTTAACCTAACCTAAGCTGATATAACCTAACCTAACCTAAGCTGATATAACCTAACCTAACCTAACCTAAGCTGACGTAAGTTTGTCCAAGTTTTAGACATGCGGAAGAGGATTGTGGGTTACGTCCCTAAAACGCGGATGATATATTGAGCGTGTGACGTCATTGCCGAGGCTGTGACGTCATCGAGTGGTGTGGTGTGACCTGGGGATAAGCGCCTCAGGTCAATAGATTGTTTACCTGTTGGGTGCTGCAAACACTCATGCGCCTCACCTTGCAAAGGATGCAAGAGGGTGCCCAATAAAATAGCCCAATTGTGGGTTAAATCTGAACAATCCAAAGATGGATGACCTGACATTCAGCTTGTGACGTAATTATTGACCTTAACCTTTGACCTCCAAGTATAGCTGTTCTTAAGGTTGTCATATTACAAGTATGAACGCTGTAATACTACTACTACTAATAATAATAATAACATAACATAATTAATAACAAGAGTAACAACACCATTGCCAGAATAAGCGATCAACTGCTTGGCGTTTCATTTCCTTCCAGCAACAACGCCAGAGTCAGACGCACATTGGCCAGCCTTCACCCAGGGTGGAGAGGGTCCCGGCCAGCTGTGTGACTCTGGTTAGCCTTGATTTAACGTGGTTTATAAGTTCGCCCACGCCATGGGTCATTCACCCCGCCCACACACACACACGCCCAACCACGCTAAGGGTCATTTACCCCACCCACACACACGCCCAACCACGCCATGGGTCATTCACTCCGCCCACACACACGCCCATACCCCACATCCAAAAGTCGTTCACCCCGCCCACGCACACGCTCGCAGACAAGTACACATACCCACCCATACACACTCACACACACACAAAGTACACATGCCCACACACTCATACACATACTGTGTGTGTGTGTCTGTATGTGTACTATGTGTATGTGTACCTTTACCTACACTGATGTTCCCGAATTAATAAACTAAAATGACCTTTTCAGATTCACATTCAAGGTCAGGGTGTTATTTCACAGGTCATAATGTTGATGACTTGAGACCTGAAGGTAGTAATACGCCATGGTACCTGATGTAGGCCGCCGCAGCTGGCTTCTTGTTGCGTATACACCCAGCTGGTACTTACTGCGTGCTGTTGCCAGGAATAGTTTCTATATTAAAATTGTGGTTGATACGTAGATGGTAGTTTTCAGGTGTGGTGTGCATGTGTGTACGTGTGTGTCAGTTCAGGTGTACATGTATGGCTACGTGTGTGTATGCGTTCATGTGTGTGTGCCCAAAAGCCCTTGGCAACTAATCGTCCAGTTACGATGAACTCTGAGATGTTATTGTTCCCTCGCCTTCCCCCTCCCTTACCGCCCCTCCCTCCAGGTAGTACAGACAAAGACCCCCGCACCCCGAACCTCCCCTTTGATAGCGCCACCTCACACGTTGTAGACTAAAACTGTCTCCAAGGCGTCCAAACTAACCCAAGTCAAACACCGCCGTCGGAACATGTTAAATATACATGTTACACGCAGTAAACAGTCCTAATTGTTACAGAGATACGTTACATAGGGTCACATGTTTCAATATTGGAATTTCCTAAACTGGTAATGTGAAAATGCATCTAACTGTCATTCTTTTAAGTTAAGACACAAACATATCGATCAGAACGGAAGCAAAACTTAACAAAATGTGTTGTATATAATTATATTTTCCACTCACGAAAAATATATCTTCCTAACCTAACCTAATAATGGTAACAAATACTTAACTTCGAGCGATTAATGAAAGCGTTCTCTAATATCCAGCCATGTGAAAGGATGTTAAACTTAAGACCGTGAGAGCAGACCACAGGTTTCAAATACGTTTGTTTTACACTTGTAGTTTCGTTACATCCACTAAGTTAAGTAACAACACAAACCGACTGTAGGAAGCTTATTTCAAGTTCCAATTTCCGTTGATTTATTTGTTATATGATTTTTTGCAGTATTTTGATGGAATATTAATTCTTAACTCTTCCCTCTCCTCCCTTATTCTAACCCCTTTTCGTCCTCCCTTTCCTTTATTCTACCCTTTTTCACCCTCCCGTCCCCAGCCGCCCTCCCTTTCCTCCTTCCTTCTCCCTCCGGCGATACCTCCCAGGCTTCCACCCTCCTTCCTTCCTTCCATTGACAGGATGAAAAGTGGGGCAAGTCTTACGCTCCTCACGTTAACATTCGTTCATACACTGGCTAATTCTTCTGGTTGTCCTACTTTTAGTACACGATACTACGAGGAATTTCAATCGCCATCTTTGTGTCCTTTCAACTTACACATCCTTACATATCCAGATAGACGGCAAATTAAACCTACGAATCTATGTGAATCTGGAACCAGTAAATTAAGTTAGCTAATAGGGATTTTATTATCTAGGACCAATTTACTACACGAACTCAAAAATTTCAGTGTTAGTCCTACAGTTTATAGAATGTTTGGAGGTAAGAGCAACGACCCACTACGCTAGGAATGTTGTTGCGATCAATGCACACCTCAACCTACCTCCACTGTGCCCTTATTTTGTCTTCCTGTCCGCATTTCATCTCCTCTGTACTTGGAAATATTCCTAGTTCACGTGATCGTTAACTTGGAAACTGTATACACATTAACGAAATAAATGTATATTAAAATAATGCAATCAAACCCACAGAACGAACTTACATCAAACCAAAGCAATTTCTACGTCCAGTTTCAATCTTTTTAACTATTACAAATTCAACTTATTCAGTAATTTGTTCGTAATAAAAGAAAGATTTATTGTACATTGCTGAACTCATAATGTGGAGCTAAACATCGTAACCAACATACTGATTTCCAGACATGGCTACTTCCATTATGCACTTCTAAATTTTCGAATTCAAACTTTACATCAAATAACATTAAACGTCGTCTTTAAAACTAAAAATATCCCCCCCCCCAAAAAAAAAAAAAATTAAAGATGCATAGTCCGTTATGCAGTGAAAAATGGCCAAGTCTATTTTTTTTTTACAGTTATTCCATCCCATTCTGTCCCCCTTTCACACTCCTACCTTTTCACACACTCCCCTTTCACAGCTTTTGTACCTTCATTTTTCACAACTGCCATCATCAGCTTTCCGTCTGCTTTTTCGTTGTCTTTTTACCGAGCTTAATTTTTTTGTCATTCGTTCTGAGAGAGAGAGAGAGAGAGAGATCAATATTAAGTGTTGGGGAGTACTTCAGTATTTCACTACACAAGCAGAATAACATACATTACAAAACAGAAAGACCATATAAAGTTTAAATTTTTTTTATACAAGCATTTTTGTAACAATTTACATATGACTAAAGAATTCTCATATATTTATTAATCTTACATAATTACTTGATAAACTAACTTAAATCAACGCTCATACTATAAAAGCAAAACTTAATCGTGTAAAAATTAAGCAAAACAGTGACTCTCCTTTATAAATTTACCCAGTTTATTAGTTGTCATTGGCTATGTTAAGTATGTTAGGAAAAGCGATAGATACTTAGATACGAGAGAAGCAGAAGTTGAATGGAATGAAAGGTAGATGGCAGATACTGTACTTGTGAGAATTATCATACACTTCTGTACTCCTGTTACATAGCAACAGCTCAGAGAACCTGACAAGGGATACTTAAGGAAATATAAATGTGTATTCTATTCACTCTACTTGTAATTTACAGACAGCAGATAATTTACACCCATAATTTAAACTTAAATTATCGTTATTATTTGTTTGTTTGCTGTTCTTCTGTGATGCCACTGTTTTATTTTCCTCGTGCACGGAGAAAACATCTGTATTTTCAGATTATAAGCGGAGTTAATATAATACTGCTTAATTTCATACTTCGGATTAATCTAATAAATTTGAGACTGAAACAGAGGCCATATTTCTTTGTTTCCCTCCCATCATAATTATGTTGTTGGCGGGTACATACGTATTCGGGGTTCATGTTTGATGTTGTGAAGCTAATTCCTTATTACTATTATTATCTTATATGTTATATCGATAAGGGTACGCAGAAGTTTCTAGGTACTGGATATGGCGTAATATTGGAACAAATGCCAGCAGCCATGTTTTCAGCAGAACCTGTTCGCTGCTTCATGACTTTTCATTGTCTGGATTCACAGTCATACTCGTTTCTTCACGATCACAGTCTTAATCACTGCAAATTTTATGTCAAACAAATCCCTGATATACAATAAACAACTTGGAATAAATAACAGCTCATAAAGAAGTAAAATAAGATCAGGATAAGAAAATCAAATATGGTAAATTATCATACTAAGGCGGTTTGTCCTTCTGCACATGCGCCGTCGAGGATCACGTGACTAACTGTATATAATCTCGCTGCAGCTCAGCCGGCGTCAGTACAGCCAAGAACACAGACGAGAGACATAGTGCAAGCATACATTAAACATCAAAAGTTCGGTACGTCTTTTTATACGTTAGTTAATTTCTTCTTGGTGGTTTATTGTGTGATATATAGAAGGATGGATTGGGTTTAAGTAAATATAATGTATCACCGAATTACAGTTACTCATATCAGTGATATCTACTGACGGTGAAACTTGTGAACATTTTTTAAAGTATTAAAAGGATATCGTGTGAACATTTTAAAGTATTAAAAGGATATCGTGGGAAGTGAAGTGAAGTGCAACACCATTATGAACAAATAATGTCGGTATATATAAAAAAAAAACTTGTATAATTGATTGTTTTCTAAGGTTATAATCAGTAACGTTAAATCTTCGTCGTAAAGCATGTCACTGGTCCCAATAACCGCCATTGTACTTCCGTCATTGCCATTCTGTACGGAACTCTAGGGCAGAAGGTATTTATTTACACTAAATTAGTTTGATATTGTACGGTAACTTTTTTAATTAGTCTAGATTGATATCTTAATTTGTAAGAGTACTCATATTAATGAACAATGGAATATTATACCTGTATCGGTGAATGGCGTTGCTAACTCGAACTGTTCCGACGCCATTATGTACAATGTTTAATCGATGGGTTTGGGGAAAAATAAAATAATGTTTAACAATTCTGGTGTTTAACATTCTAGACGTGAAGGAAATAATTTTTGTAATGAAGACCAGATCTTTGTTTCACAAAGAAAAATTTGAATGTGATAAGCATAGAAGGTACACAATATATCTATCGGTTCAATATTGCTTATTGTAAACTTCCAGTCAAAATTGCACGTTAAATATGATGCCACGACCTGTTCGTGTCATAATGCATATTTTGACATTGCAACCTTAAATGCTAGACATTTAATTTTATTATGCTATGTTTGTATATGCATAGTTAGGTTACACCTGAAGATAGACTGCAAATGAATAAACCAGACCACCAAACATTTCTTGGGTTACACCTAATTCTGTGGAGTACATGTGTTATTGCTATACTGTATATAGGTGTGGGGGGCGTTATGTAGTTACTTTGGTTAAAGTCAAGATTTACCCGTACTGTACAGTATGTGCACAAACTATTGGTGTAGTAGTCTCGTGTTTTCATATATAATGGTTGCCTTGCTACCTGCTATGACATGCTCAACAACCTTGTAGATCTATTTAAATTTAAGATTATTTAAGAAATATACTGTGGCTAAAATTTTACTAATGAATTGTTTTCTTTGCAGTACATCATCCAGATCTTCGTGAAAACCCTCACTGGGAAGACCATCACTCTTGAAGTAGAACCTTCAGACACCATTGAAAATGTCAAGGCAAAAATTCAGGATAAGGAAGGCATCCCCCCAGACCAGCAGAGGTTGATCTTTGCTGGTAAGCAGCTAGAGGATGGCCGAACACTTTCCGACTACAATATCCAGAAGGAATCTACACTACATCTTGTTCTCCGTCTTCGTGGTGGTATGCAGATTTTCGTCAAAACCCTCACTGGTAAGACCATCACACTTGAGGTTGAACCTTCAGATACAATTGAAAATGTGAAGGCCAAGATCCAAGACAAAGAAGGTATTCCCCCAGACCAGCAGAGGTTGATCTTTGCTGGTAAGCAGTTGGAGGATGGTCGCACTCTTTCTGACTACAACATCCAGAAGGAATCTACACTTCATCTCGTTCTCAGACTGCGAGGAGGTATGCAAATATTCGTCAAAACCCTCACAGGAAAGACTATCACCCTAGAAGTTGAACCTTCAGACACCATTGAGAATGTTAAGGCTAAGATCCAGGATAAGGAAGGCATCCCCCCAGACCAGCAGAGGTTGATCTTTGCTGGTAAGCAGCTAGAGGATGGCCGAACACTTTCCGACTACAATATCCAGAAGGAATCTACACTACATCTTGTTCTCCGTCTTCGTGGTGGTATGCAGATTTTCGTCAAAACCCTCACTGGTAAGACCATCACACTTGAGGTTGAACCTTCAGATACAATTGAAAATGTGAAGGCCAAGATCCAAGACAAGGAAGGTATCCCCCCAGACCAGCAGAGATTGATCTTTGCTGGGAAGCAGTTGGAGGATGGTCGTACACTTTCTGACTACAACATCCAGAAGGAATCTACACTCCACTTGGTACTGCGTCTTAGAGGAGGTATGCAGATCTTTGTGAAAACCCTTACAGGAAAGACCATTACCCTAGAAGTTGAACCTTCAGACACCATTGAGAATGTTAAGGCCAAGATCCAAGACAAGGAAGGTATCCCTCCAGACCAGCAGAGATTGATCTTTGCTGGTAAGCAGTTGGAGGATGGTCGCACTCTTTCTGACTACAACATCCAGAAGGAGTCTACACTTCATCTTGTTCTCAGACTGCGAGGAGGTATGCAAATATTCGTCAAAACTCTCACAGGCAAGACTATCACCCTAGAAGTTGAACCTTCAGACACCATTGAGAATGTTAAGGCCAAGATCCAAGACAAGGAAGGTATCCCTCCAGACCAGCAGAGATTGATCTTTGCTGGTAAGCAGTTGGAGGATGGTCGTACACTTTCTGACTACAACATTCAGAAAGAGTCCACACTTCACTTGGTACTTCGTCTCCGTGGAGGTATGCAAATCTTCGTCAAAACTCTCACTGGCAAGACCATCACACTTGAGGTAGAGCCTTCAGACACCATTGAAAATGTGAAGGCCAAGATCCAAGACAAGGAAGGTATCCCCCCAGACCAGCAGAGATTGATCTTTGCTGGTAAGCAGTTGGAGGATGGTCGTACACTTTCTGACTACAACATTCAGAAAGAGTCCACACTTCACTTGGTACTTCGTCTCCGTGGAGGTATGCAAATCTTCGTCAAAACTCTCACAGGCAAAACTATCACCCTAGAAGTCGAGCCTTCAGATACCATTGAGAATGTTAAGGCCAAGATCCAAGACAAGGAAGGTATTCCCCCAGACCAGCAGAGATTGATCTTTGCTGGTAAGCAGTTGGAGGATGGTCGTACACTTTCTGACTACAACATCCAGAAAGAATCTACACTACATTTGGTTCTCAGGCTTCGTGGTGGTCAGTAAAGTATTCCGGATGAAATGTTCAAATTTCCTTTAATTTCTTAAAACTACGCTTATGGCATAGCTGTTTGCACATTAGCCGATTCCTTTAATATGTAGATGGAAGAGATTTAATTTCTTTTGCACATGGATATTATTTTTTACTTTTTATAATGTGCTAGCCGAACCAAATAAACACTATTAAGATTATTTCATGCATTGTTTTCTTATCGCATACTGAAGCAGTAATGACGTCAAAGGTTTTTACCTTGATTATGATCCAAGACAAGTTTGTAAAAGACGATTTAAGGGAAAAATAAGCAATTGGCAAATAACAAGGTGACCGTATATATCTATATATATATTAAATCTTATTTCATCACTTGAGTCAAAATTGACGAAACTGCCTAATATAAGTGATTACAGATGGTTAGAAGGAATTAAGTTAATACTATTCTATACTGTAATAGAGAATGCATAACCTATAAAAGTCCAACTAAGGCAGTGTTTGCCAATAGTATAAATTGGCAACTGATTAAGGAGTTGCCTGTTAATTGCCTCGCGAAAAATTGAGTAATTTGGTTTTCTCGAATGGCTAGTTTGCATTTATGACTTCTTTATACCACAGTAAATAACCCTCTAATATAAATGTGCAGCCCATTCTAGACTGAAATACAGGTACTTAATCTGAAAAAAACTTTGTAAATATAACTGCACTGTCTAATACAATACTCCATTGTAAATTTAAACATCCACTAGGAAATGTAAGCTAACAGATAATTTTTAAGATTTTACGATGCGTTTTGTATTTAATGTCCCTCCCCAACTGCTTGTGTAGACGAATGTTCTACATCTTTAGATCATGATAGTACATACTCCTCCATATGTTTGCGTATCCCGAGTACAGTACAAATTAAAATGGAGAAGGAAGTACAGATTGCTTAAGTACTATGAAATCGGGGCAAGGGTGTGAATGCAATGTAGCTGAATATGTAAACGAGTAAATCCAAACACATTTCTTCAGAACTTGTCCCACCTAAATTCTACCATGAAATAAGTAAGCTTGTATTTAGTGACCCCATTAAATGATCTGATCTTATTTAAAAGTAAGTAATCACAAGCTACCAATAAAAATATTGGAAAGGTACTACATTGCAAATGGAACAACACTTACGATATTTGTATTTATTCCTACTAATAAGAGAACCGAGCTTACAGGGGTGATAAGTTCTCGTACTTTTTATCATTTAATTACACTGACTTAATATTTCCTCCAATCTGGAAAAAGGGTTTTTCCCATTGCATAGAAAACCTCTCGACATTTTAGTGAATTTAGTTTTATAAAATTTTCTTTCGTTTACTCACAAATTAATACAGTACTTCAGAATGGCTATCTGTTCCATTTAATAATTAGTTCCCTCGTGTCAAAAGTAAATGCAAACTGATGCTAATAATAATTGTTGCAACTGTGTGTGTGTGTGTGTACTAAATTTCTTCAGTCTTTCAAGACTTGCCACAAACAAGGTTTTTTTTTAATCACGAGCCAAGACAAAATCGTTGTTTTATTTTTTTTTTTTACTGTTGTACCATGTCTTCTGTGGTTTTCCCCTTCTGTTTACCCACACAATTTAACATGACCGAACAGCACATTCATTCCCAAAACCACTTGATATCATGCTTTATTATGGGTGTTCTGTGCTATTGGTATCAAAGGTTAGATTAAGGATTAGGAAATAAGAAAAATTACTTGTACAATGTCAGGGGACTTCTTATGCTTTCATGACTAAAATAACTACCCCGGTATTTTTACCACGAAGTTTTTTCAAAGACGTAGTCAATCTGAAATATGGATGAAACAAACCCAGCGAGTAAAATAACGATATATTAAGTAAAACTTTTTACAATGCATTCAAGAAACAATCGTGACAATAGCCGGTTTGTTTAGTCCAAAAATTTACCCGTCGACACAACATACCATAATACAGTACTGTACTATTGAGCCTACAATTAAATTAATACAATATTCAATACCTAACACAATGGAACAGTTCACAATACAAACAACAATGTACTCACCACTATGGAGAAGGTTGAGACCCACAGCCAGCAACAATACCGTCCACAGTCTGACTGACTTTTTCCAGGTGGCTAACCCAACACCAAATCTTGAGTGAATGAGTTGAAGCGTTTTAACTAAAGATCTGACTCTTCCATGATGGTCAGTAAGATGGTTCAGTGAGGTAATGGTTGGCATTACCCATCACACTTTTGCCCTTAACCAATAGATGGCATTATCTACCAGAGAACATTGTGGGTGGCTGGTATATCACACAGGTAGATGAATAAATGTACAGTAGTCACGACATAAATAATAGGGAAAACTGAACACCACACACAAGATACTCCTGTGGTAAAATGACATTATTACCCCAAACATATAAATACAAGTAACAGAATATACATATTAGATTACCAAGTGACTTAACAATACAGTAATGGATAAACTAATGCACCTATTGCCTAGTCCTAACTAACCCTACCCCATGTGTTTTAATATAGAATCAACATCCTATAGTCATTGATTCCCCTTGTTACCATACAGTACTCTCCCTCATTCCATCCCACTTTTAATATATCTACACCAGCCGAGGAAACACTAATTTAATTTTTTCGTCTTATTTATTTTTGTTTATTTTATACAATTTATTCACCCCATATATTGCTCTCAACTACATAACTTCCCTCATTTGTTTTATCCTCTTACAACCATGGTTGATGCTTAACATTTGTCTAGTAATGCTGGTTCAATGTTTCATTTAGTTATCCTAATTTTTGCTGCATTTCAATGGTTCTCTATCCACTTTTTTCTTTCCAAAACCATAATCTCTGATAGAATTCTTCACTCACTGGCATATCACCTTTAAATATCTTGACACATCTCACTTCCTCCCTCACATCTCCATTCACTATAACATTAATTTATCCCTACCTCCCTTCACTAGTAACTTGTCTTTCAGCAGTATGATTTGCAAACAGCACCTAACTCAGAACCAACTTGCAGTCCATATCACAATCATGGCAACATAATACTCACTGGCTTTGCACTGCCTTATAATTTCATGGCAAACAAGATTCTCTAATACATGCTTCACTTTTCTTATAAAAACAATGGATGGCATTCAACAGTCCTTGTGCAGTAATATTAATTGATCAACAACAACTGTACATAAGTTGTTATAATACCAGACATAATAGTTCAGGTCCTCATCTTAAGGCTATGGAGCAGAAGTAAGGACACTATAGTCCATTCCCTCAAACCTTACAACTGAGGTCTTCGTCTGTCTTAGCTATACTGTATTTTCAGTCTTCATCACCATAAGAAGCAGAATACAGTATTAAAAAAATAAATAAATAAAATAAAATTATTAAACTAACCAAGACTTATACCTTGGACTAGCAGTGTGGGGAACTCCGGTAGAGGATACTTCTCCCGTTTCATTACCTTCACCAATTCAAAATATTTTGCATAGATTTAGTAATGTTACTGGCATGGTCTCTCCTGTGTTAGCAATACACTTTCTTAAGTACGAAGTTTTCACGGCATAAACCTCAAGGACATAATTTTATCAATATACAAACCTGTTGATGGAGTTTCCTTGATATTGAAGCCTAAAAGAAACTAATCCTGAGAAGCCTACATACTGAGGTTTCCATAACATATACAGTACTGAAGAACAGTTTTATATACTATACAATTCAAACACCAAGTGGAAAACATTATACCTGTAGTTGGTCCAAAATACATCCAGGAGGCAAGTTTTTCATATATAGTACAAGTCTTTTCTCCTGTAGTGATACAGGGTAGCTGGACAGGTGCTCAACTCCTCATCTTTTGGCAGAACATTACAACAGTTCACCAATGATTAGTACATTTGTTAAGTGTACAGTATTTATTCATCAGAGTACATAAGGACTGGTGTATAAAGAGGGAACATATTTCAACATAGCTGTAGTTAATTGAATCTATTATCGTTCACTCACATCAATGTTCTGCCAGCTTAACTACAAACTCACTACAGTAAAAAAAGGTAATTAAAAAGAATTAAACACCTAGAAATTTTGGGGTATAAAAACTCCAATTACAAATAACACAGAGGCATTTATTTAGCTTAGTTAAGAATATACAAAGTCATGATATCCCGCATTTGCACAATGTTTGAGGTGTTGAACAAGTTGCCTCACGGTGGTGCTAAGAGCAATGACACAAGGCATTCCTGCCAGTCGTGTAATGCATATCTCATTTGATTATAATAATCAACATTACAGGTCAAAATTCGTATGACAACATATATCTACTCCATATAGCATGCTATACAAAAGATAGCAAACCATTAATTACTTGCATAACACTACCACTCTGACCACTCAAGGAAGCCACAGAAGGACCAAGCTGCATAATGGCCGACATCATTCATTTATCACCACAAAGAGTTCCGGCAAGTTGGTTATTACACTTGCGGGTATCACATGAGCAGAGATGAAGGGTTGCCATTCTCGGTACACTCGAAGAAACACTTATGGCATGTCGGCAGACGTGGATCAATTGAAGGGGACATTATGAACATTATCCTGGACTGTGTTGCAATGATGGAGCTAAATAAACACCAACATGTTATTGCATCTCATCTACACTCACAAGTTTTACATGATAATGAAGAGAGCCTCATAAGGATTTGGAAAACATTTCCTCAACGGAAAATCTATATATTTGGAGATAGTAGCAACTTTCCAAATTTTAATTGTGTTACTTTTAACTTTATTCCAAATTACAATACACCAACTGGTCAATGGACACATAGCAGCGAATTTGGTGTTTATACAGCTCCTGTCGCTTGTGTTAACATGCCAGCCAAACCCCCCATGAAAGACAGTGAGGTTATGAAAGACAAAGTGCTCTCTGCGCCCATCCAGGTAAAAAAAATTGCACTAGACACCTTTGGCTCATGAGATCCTCCTGGTTTAGCGCACCACTGAACAATACAGCAGTAAGGCCTGCATGTCACTCCCAAGTTTATAATTACTGTACATGCATAGACATTTTGTGCTCATCATAATAAATACACACATTTATATATACGGTACTTAAATTTGGCATTTCCATTAGTTTAGAAGTAAGTAAGACATTCATTTTTTATACAATCACTGAATGTGATAATGTTAGAAACAGTACAGCAGTCCTCGCTCTTGTCCCTTATCAACTGAGCAGGCACTTGTATTGACAGCTTTCCTTCTCAGTACTGAAGATCAGTCAATACATAAAATTATGAAAATAAAATTAAATACTGAAAACTAACTAAAATACAAAAGTGATGATTAAAAATAAATAAATTCAAATGCCTGGTACAGCACTACAGTATTCATGAAACAGTTAGTTGTTCTAGTTTTAAAATTTACTGTATGATTGCTGTGTAAAATATGACTAAACTTGGCTACACAGCTCTGTACAGTACTTTCCAGGTTTCAGATCATTGCAAAAGTTGACTTATTGTGTTAATGCTGTGATAGGCTCTATGTATAATTTAATTAACTTTTTAAAAACATCCTAATCTATGCCATGAAAAGATTTTTTTTTACTTTACATTATTTGTTAAGTCATGATAAAACTTAAAATATTTACAGTAGGTACACTTCAAGTATATAAACATAAAATTTCACAAAATAAAAATGATTTTCACAATACTACCTGCTCAAAGACTGTGAAACAAGAGTGGAACACACACTGTCAATCTAATATGCATGGTCTTATATTAAAACTTTGGTTCTAGTTACATTACAAGGTTACAAACTTTCACTACAGAATTAATGGGAATCTTCAATATTGTAACCATTACAAATTAATTATGATTAAACACTGAAGAAAATAATCCATGTTAATTATTGACTTTACATTCCATGCTCCACAATAATGAATGAACATAATGACTTCATTAAAAAACTGCCCTGGTTTCTACTACAGTATTTTTGTTATTGTCAAGAATTTCAAAGTAACAAATGGCCAACTACAACAGGGAATGGTTTTCACACCATCAGCCACATCAGTCGCCCATGATGGATGATGTTAGATCCATATTTGATGCTGCCCAGCAGATAAACCTCTTTTAGTAGTGTTTATGTTAACACACTCCTGAGCACTTGCCCTTAAAGCTTTGGGGGGCTGGCAAGCAATAATAGTCCTTATGTGCTAATGGTCACACCACCACAAAGTCTGGAGAGCATTACCCTCAAATGGTACCACTTCTGTTTATTTTGAAATCCTTAGATTGATGTTACCATAAATACTGAAATTAAAGCATCAAGTCTTTTCATATTAGAGACATAACTACAGTAGTTAACTTACAATTTCAAACTTACTACTACCCGAATCAACTTTTCGACGATGCACAAGAGTACGTCAACGTTCTATAAGAGGTAGCGCGTGCCTGGAAGCGAACGACTTCAAAATGTGTCAAGAAGGTGGTATCTTGAGAACAACGAACACGGAGACCAGTGCTTGGATGACCCTACCGTTAAAACTCTACACACAGCAGCAACATAGCTCCGCTCCTCATGCCGAGGCAAACCACACTGTAACACTACTAACATAAGTCTTTACAGATACACCATGCAACTCTCGTTATAAAACGTAACTAAACAGTGGTGGGTAAAAAATAAAGACATAACGGACTTAAAAGTATTTACCGTAACGTCTGCTCTCGTAACCACGATCACAATACACAGGCCGTATAACCTTTAAATACCGTTAGGATGTGTCGAGAAGAGTGAAGGAAAAATGCATTCCTGAACAAAACCAGCACACTATTATTAATCCAAAGAGCACCACACACAATATTGTTGTGGATATAGTACATGAATGATACATATTTGCTGTTTAGTTCATTTGATGAACTTAATATTATCACAATATTAACTTTAAAAACTACATTGTTCTAACAATCAATTAGTTTATCATCATCTATGCAAATATGTTTACTAAATTTCCACATTGTGACTGGTTTAAATTAGACAACAATTTTAACAAGTTAATTCAGCGTAACCGAAACAGACGAAGTAGCGTACATGCTTCGGGCTTTACGTCCAGGAACATATTTATTGACTATATTGTTAAAGAACCTCATTAATATACAATAAACTGTTAGTGTGACAAATCTGCTCACTTACTCTACATGTTAAATACTTTTTGAAGAGTTGCTCATACCTTAAGTGACATACTATTAGGGAGCACTAGACTAAATTTCAATATAGATAATTTTTCTCTTTTTCTAGCTATGCCAAACACTTCTTAACCCATAGTAACATGTCTGTAAGCATACTCTATAACTCTTAAATAAAATCTTATGCCACTTGAATATATTTTCGATGAGAAGACATTAAATATATACCAATTTAACAAGAATAAAACGTCTACATAACTAGAAACATTTTTCCAAGTAAGCTTAGTCCATTACACTCAAAGGTAAAACAAGGCAACATAGCGGGGAAGCTTACATATCTCTCTACAGCGCTTTACTCAAGTTGACACTACCGTACATGGTGGGCGGAGCAGCTCGGGTCCAACACTAGCCTCGGCTGACACTCACGAGTTGCCTACGTAGACCCCACATCTTACCACCACCTACATATGCCTAATTTTTACAAAAGCCCAAAAATGTCAGATTTATCTTTCTCAAAATCTGCAAAGGGTTCACACAGATAAATAACTACAGTATATAACAAACATTCTTTTTTCATACAATGAGCAAATTAAAAGTTTAAATCAGTTTAAAACTTTTGTCTCCACTCATCCTAATCAATCTAATATTTGTAATTTATTTCATACACAAATGTCAAGTTTCACTTAAATCACATTACAGATGAACTAAGAATCTCCTAAATTGACTAATGATGCAGTTACACTCAAAACCATAATGAAGACGAGTTATACCATCGTCATAAAGGTAAATGAAGTTTTAACTACTGTATTCTCTTACTATAAACAACTTTCTGTATCTACAACCAACTCAAATTTCCCTCAAGAATTTTATAATATACCGTATTTTTTTATTCAAATGACCTCACTTTGTTCAGGTTTTCAGTAATTTAGTAAAAAACCATAAGTAGTCATTTCCCCTTTTCCAGACACTGTTGCATAGTCTGTCGTCAGTTTTTTGCTCGTCTGAAGGTGTAATCAACATCTTCATTTATTACCATTCTTGTAACTTAACTCCCATAACCACATGACTTCATATTATATCTCTCATTTTGCCACCTGATAAAATAATTCTGATATGACTAAGCTAACAATGACATCCCCGCCCCCCATATTGCACCGCTTAAGTGAAAGTTTCAACTTGTAGACATTAAATCCTGAGAACTGGACAGAATGTTGCTATTCACACGTTCAGAGTAAGTCATTCCCGTCAACCCGAGTCACTGTATTAGTTATGCCTCTTATTCCCAAGGAAATGCCATCTTAAAAACTGAAGAATGTCTTACACGACATTTTGTCTTTATTTCATCGACAAGGAAATGTTTTTATCGACGAGTTTATCCCCATTACAGATTAGAAAACTCTCATAACTAATTAAAAACCTTTAGTAATGTTTTCATAGTTTACAGTACTACAGTATAAAAGTGTTAAGGCTAAATCGTTCAATCCAATATATGTGGCAGTTTGAGGAGATTTACGTATAACCAGCGGCATATCTCTGCACGTGTATGGACTCCCAGGAGATATCAAGTTGTTGTATTTTAAGGCAGTGTGTGTGCTGTAAGAATGGATCTCAGCAGACAACTCCAATATGTTCTGAGCTACCAAGCACTGAGGCACAGGACAATCAAGCACAAAAAAGTACTTTCTTGAAGTTAGTGTCCTACAGCTTAAAATATTTTTTGATTAACCAACATGTTATTAATAAGTTTCTATTTATCCCTTCATCCACAACCTGCAGATTTAATTAAACAATAAGGGAATTATTAATGCATACAATGTTAATCGTCTCTGTTCTCTCTGAATGTGGCACAATGGTTAGTGACTAGACGTGGCATGTATGGATTTATATTAACTAAAATTCTTGCTGTTCAATGGTCTATGTACTGCAGTATGTAATTCTCCATATTTAAGTTATGAATTATGATCCTCTACTATTCATGCAAAGCTTTTGTATGCCAATCATTGGTCACATAAAAAAAATCAAGTTTCATAGCTTGTTAGGCCAACCAGTCCCACAAATCGTTCTGGCCACATCCTATTCACTGTCACTTCAAATCTTGTTTTTGCCAGTGATGGTCCACAAAGATCAATGGTCCCATGGCTCACTAAGATCAACCTTCCCTCTGCTAGTCTCCAGGCAACATGTTAATGTAACCAACCAATGCGGGTTTCTGGTTTGCAGCTATGACATCCAGACTCCTTCAAAAAACAATAAAAATAATAAAAAAAATTCAAATGCAGTGTATGAATGAAGTGCATACTGAGTCCTCAAGTTCAAACATCTTAGCACTAAAACAAAATACAGACACATTAAACTATCTGTCATCATATAAGATAAAACAAAGACACAGTCACACTCAACATTATGTATAACATTGTACTCCCATAAACCCAAGCTCCAACACCATTAAAAGTCATAATTACAATAAAAACTACTTTGGAATACTTTATTTAAACTTCTTAAACTTTTCTTACTGAAACTACTTAAAAATATTTACCCGGTAGAGAGACCGAAAAACTTCTAATTTCACGTCTTTACTGTTGTCAACTTTTAACGGTGAATGAAGCTTTCTGGCGTCTGGGAGTAAATAACTTGGCCACTGCTGTCCCTCCACCTGATAACAGCTAGTGCATTATAAGTCAGCTCCTTAATTACAGAATGTAGCGCTCGGATTGAAAAAAAAAAAGGTTAAATTAACGTCATCCAGGGACTTTATAAAACAACATATTTATTATATGTAAAGGAAAGAGTAGTTTGGTAAAAACAAAAATAATAAAACTAAAATAAACTTCATTGTTAGGCCTTACATATAAGTGGTTATGCTTTTTAATATCTGATGACATTATCCAAAGATACTGACCAGAACATCAAAAAATACAAGTGACAATACCACCATGCAGTATGAGATTGATGGACTAAAGTACTACAGTAGTTAATAAACGAGTTATCACTTATTTGTATATTGTATGCAGTCAGAAAATGCATATTAAATATCTCTTACACTGAATAATATCCCAGGTTCAGTATATATACAGTATATAACAATTATCACACGTGTGTATGTAGTAGATCAAGAATGACAACCTGCATTATGGGTTATTCTTACCGCCATGACTCATAGAGACGTGAGCAAACAAGGGAGCATGCAGGAGCTGAGTCAGGAATACACACATGGGGGAGCAAATCAGTGGCACTAGGAAAAAAAAGTCTCCTGTATAAAAACTATTCCTTCATTTGTCTGTGAAGGAGTCACTGTTTACACTTAATATAATCTCTGTGAACGATTGTGAAGCTCCATGACTCACTGTGATGCCAGCCACTTGTCTGAAGGCAACGGTTCTTCTGGAAAAATCTTATGTTTAATCACAATCTATTTGATCAGTGGAGAAACAATATATCACCTGGTTAATTTTAAACTATGTACAGGAAAAAATATGATATCCATTTTTAGTGTAAAAAGAACATTCCAAATACTTTAATCTGTTACCTATGCAGCATTAATTTTTTTTTTATATCTTCTACACTAACAATAAAAAGATTTGTAATACAAGATACTGTACTTGCAATATACCTGCAGCATATTCTTGTTAAACATTCACCATCATTATCTTGGCTTGGAGTAGTTACCACACCAACACATCTTGTTTCTGGTAATCTTTAAAAATTTTGTATAATTAACATAAGAGGATTTCACAACAATATCCTGCTTCTATATGAAACCCCCTAATGAAGATTATTAAACAAAAATATACAAAAAATCTCCCTAGGGTACTGTACTGGACAAACTTAGGACTCTATAAAACTCACAAGCTCACCAATTGATTAGTGAAAGTGTTCTAGGGGTGATCAGCACTGAAAAATTAACCTGAATAGACTATGACCTACAATCATTTAATTCACACTATTTGGACTTGTATTTCACTGCTACAGTTACATATACACCAGTCTGATCAACTTATTTTCTCCTATTAAGCGTTAAAAATGAGAAACTGACACCACCAGGTTTACGTTCCCACCATATGATGTTTAACGCTGGAGTGAATACCAGCAACGACATGTGGTTATTGTTGACATATCATAGAGGAGGCATCGCTATGTACAAAAGTAAGAGAAATAAAGCTGCAAGATGTCAATAACCATCTGTCATTATATAATTTTTTCTTTTGCAAAGCAGCACAAATATATCGTGAAAATGACAAGTCTGAGCCTTTATACTTTTATGAGTAGTTGTACATTATTTGAAATGTAATAGTATGAGGAAAAAATTATGCTGTGGCAGATAAACAGCTGGCTGGGAGTCTGGAGCACGAGGTGATGGGGAGGGGAGGATGAAGGAGACTGCGATGATACAGGGGTCAGCTGGGGTGGTTAGAGCTCCATGTCTTGTGCTTCATCTTCAGAAAAGTCAGACATGGAAGATTCAGAGTCTGAAGAATCAGCTTGAGCAGCTTCCTGTTCCTTCAGAGCTTCTTCTGTTGCGTATCGCTTAACATAGTCTGTGAAGTAGTACATTACTTCAGTGACAATGAAAGACATGCATGAGTCATATTATTTAGTGGTGTTCTCCCACCTGTATTGGTCCCAAATCTTGATATACTGTAGTCACTAATCTATTACAAACAAGAAGCAAAGAGGAGCTGTTCATATATGTGAATCAACAAGTACATTGACTTGCGAGAGGAGAATTAATATTTTGGATGAAACTGGTGAGATCATAGTCTGAACTTTACAAGGTTATCAACCAGAAACAAAGGGAGAGAACACTGAAAAGGGGCCTTGGAAGAGTAAGAGGCTAAAAGTAGAAGTTGGATCATTAATGAGAGGGAAACTAAGGAAGGAAAAGATTCTGTTATCTCTGTAATTAGTTGCACCATAGGCCAACATTATCTAGTACTCATTTTTCATTATCAGAAGCCACTTCATAAGAGTACAGTCCAGTAGTTAAGTCAAGGAACAAGAAAATTCCTGGGTTTGTCCACAAAACCTGAGTCACATACTCATCATTAATGTCAACCCATAAAGGGTAGAAACACAAGAGGCCATCTTGCCTACTTTTCAGGATCTCTGGGCTCAGGCACATTAAGGTTTTAACTTTACTACAGCAGATTTAAAGTGACAAAATTAGAATTCCTCACCAGTTTGTCCAAGCCAACAGAATTCAGAAATTCTCAGTGACTACAGGACTGAAATGCTTCATTACAATATAGAGTACTGCAAGTTAAAAACCAAGGCCTAGTTCAAAGATTATAGGTCTTTGGTGGACCTAATGTACAAAATATGCCTACTTGTGCAGTCTTATTGCAGTCACACCCAGCCTCATTATGTTCTGTGCAGAACTTGCCAGGTGTGGATATGTTTTTACATTTGAAGTAAACATATGGTCAATAAAACCAATAAAAATTCCAGGTTTCACAATGTAATCTAAGAAGAATCCAATACCTCCCAAAAGTATGCATATACAATACATAGATGTAAAACTGCTGCTTAAGGGTCTAGGTATTGAATGCAGTAATAGCAACAGCTTACAGAAATTAATTGTAGTATGGCATCTGAAGTCTTGATGAAGTTATGATATCCACAGGCCACTGACAGTGGTGAAGATACTTGAGAGCAGGACAGTCTAGGCAAGGATAGTCAAGAGGGTTATATAATTTTAATTTGAGTCTTCTTTCATGAATTCAATTATGACTTTACATGATTAGGACAAAGATATTCCCTCTATATACAGTATATATACTGTACAGTATATTATTTTTCTCCTGCATGGTACAGAATGGCTGGAATAAAGAGCAATGTACACTCTCCTGCCATATTCTCTCATCTGTTCTTTACCTGGTCAAACAGATGTGTCCTACAAAATGGCTCCCATCCAGTTTTTGCATTACTTCACCCAACTTACATCACCCATCAGTAACATTTCCATTCCCACATACACAGCTGATTCCCTTTACCATCCAGTACTGCCCTCACCCCAGTTTTCTGCAGTGTTGGTTTTTCCTAACAGTTTATCTATCAATTAAGTGATTCCCTAGACAGGATGCCAGTACAGTACAGTACAGTACACGGTGCATTAGCCACAAGCACAGACAATGACTTTACCTGACACTTTCTTCTTGTACTCTTCAGGCTTGTGGAGGTACATTGCGGCAGCATCCCCATTTAAGGGATCAATTGGATTTGGATATGTTAGAAGTTGAGGGAGGAAGCTTTCAAAGATATTTGACAGATCTGCAAGTAAATGACAGTGAGAAGCCATCCAAATATATGTGGTTTATTCAGTATATTTTTCAATATATCAATTTCATTAGTCTTTACAAATATAATTCATGAAAACTTATCCTACATCTAATTACATGCCTACACCAGCCATACCTTGTTGGCAGGGTGTCTTCTCATGCTACTACAGAGATTTTCATTTCAATACAGTATATAAGTTTATGCTTTCAATATACAAAAAGAATGACATACTGTATATTATTAACCAATAAAATCTGAACATGTGTGGGAGTACTGTACAGGTGAGAGCTTTTAACTTCTATAGACTGCAGAAAATAAGGAAATGAAACCAACAAGTAATCTACTTACCATATAAGGCTGTCCAGGCTTGATTTATTACGTCCAAACAAACAGTGCCTGATACCTCATCAATATTAGGGTGGTACACTTTGTTCATGAAGCCAATGCTCGGAGATTTGAAAGGATAATGTTCCGGGAGATGGACGCGAACTTTCCACACGCCTCCTTCATACGGGGCTGAATAATAGGTACAGTATAGGTCTTTTATACAGGCAACACTGGTAGTAGGACATAACCTTAACCAGAGAGAAATACTGTAATATTTATCATTACTTATGTATGATGGCAAAGAACAAAACAAGAGATATATATATATATAAAAGTATTCGCCATGCCTATACATATAACGTGAAACTAAAATCATCACAACTTACTGCCTTTGGGTCCATAAAATTTAACACAGAACTCGTTCAGCCCATTGAGCATGGTAACTTCGTGCTTCTTCTCGATACTAGGATACTCAGGTTAAGGAAAACATAAGCCATCAGGACATTAAGTTATCACAACATTCAATAAAATCACAGTACAAGTCAGCCGCCAAAAGTGTAATGGTTATCACAAATAGATTCAATAAGCTTTGTTTAATGTACAGTATAGCATGTTATTCCCCTCAAAACTATAAGGTATATTTTGTTGCATCTCTTCTTTAGGTTACAGTCACCTACCAACTCTTATCCCTGCATACCTGAGCCTTTCTTAAACACACAGTACCCTACTCCTTTCATCTCTTTGTTCTTTGGCATGAACTTTAACTTTTACCTCCATTATTCTGAAATACTGCACAACATTTTTCCGACACATCACAATCAATAATTCTAAGTACTGTATATATTAACCCTTGATATACAGCAAAACCTTGATAAAACAGACTTCCATCTCTATATAGTTCATTGGATGGAGGTTTTTACCTATAACAGACCCTCGATATAATGAACTTTCTTCTCTATATACTGTACAGTCGTTTTCAATATGATAACCTTTGAAATACCATGTACATAAAGTTTACAATATCAGACTGGTGTTTGGCCAAGTGAAAATACCCGAGATATTGTGATCGATCAATGACTTCAGGTGGATTTGATGGGTGGGAGGAAAACACAGGAAAAAGCTAAGTTTCTTTATTTCATTCTCTCTGAAGATGGGTTCTGTGTAACCTGAAACGTTTGAGAAATAAATAAACTTAGCTCTTTCTTGTGTTATGTTAGATAAAGAAACTTAGCTCTTTCCTGTGTTTCTCTCCCACCCATCAAATCCACCTCAGATATTGCTCACATGTCAAGATTCCTAGTGATAAGGGAGACCAAACAGTAATAGGGTGAACACTCATGAAGTAACTTTGAGGAATATTGTCATGTTTTTCTCCCCATCCTAACACAGTCGGTGAGATTGAGTGTAATGAGCTGTGGGTTTGTTACCTCAATCGAAAATGCAATTACTTTCAGCTATATCCATTTTGTTCAAGAATATTCAAATCATTATCTTATCAATTAAACTCTACCCAATTGGACTTCCTTAACAGCCATTAGAACGTGTAGCGACTTCTTTTTTTATTGTGAAGGAACAGACTCAACAGTGAAGGTACAAGACGTTCAAACAGCAAGAATAACAAGGAAATGGATTTAAATTACCAGTAGTATCTAAATTTTTAACAGTTGATGAAAGTAGTGAAGGAGAGTGAGACAAATTTTTATTACCAACAAGCTCAAACTCTAAAAAAACCCACATTTATTGAAGGTAAAGTAGAAGAATGTCATTTCGGTAAGTTTGTCCACAAGAAGGTTTAACTCTAGCAGTGTATTTGTTCTAGATTTTTGCCTGTGTTGGAGAGTGCAATACTAAATTAATCCCCAATTCACCAACAAAAGCAAACTGTGTGGGGCTGTAAGCTGCCTTCATCCAGCATCTTCACCTTATCAGTAACACAGAAAATTATCAAGTTTACACTTGATAATGGTTCTGTTGTACAGTATCACAATACTGTACGGTACTGTTACATTCACCAACCTTCGATACTAACCCATACTACAAAACTCCTACCTTCTATTGTTTTCATATATTCTTCATTTTATGATAAATTTCTGTGCATGTACTTTTAATATAGCAAACTGTCATATATTTTACCAAGGTGTAGATATGGTATAACTAACCTCTAGTGTAAGTGGTTCCCTCTGAGCTGTACTATACAATTGTCGAGTTGGCCAAATATATCAAGTGTCTCATCTGTTGTGCTATGTTCCTTTACTCCCCACTAATGCTGTACTGTATTCATGCACCTCCCACTATCAGCCGCCACACTCTTATGTCCACAGATCACTCACAATAAAGTACTGTATGCTGCTACTGTACTTCACTTCTCATTTACCGTCACATAATTTACTGAATATTTTCATTATTTACCTCTATGAATAAAGCTACTTTGATGAATAAAATTACAGTACTCATTACAACCAAAATTGTTACTTTCTTTGTTTTATATATATGTGTGGGATTATCATTATGTGTGAAGACTTCCATCTCTCTCTCTCTCTCTCTCGTAGATCCATATTTAATTCAGCATATGAAAATGACTGTACTTATACAATATTAAGTGAATCTGCACAAGGCACGATGTGTACGAGTCAGTCAACACAAGGTTATTTTCTATTACTGTACTGCACTTTTTAGCTAAATCTGAAAAAAGTGCCACTTATGAGTCACCAGAGATATTTGTACTGTACACATATTATGCACATTACATAACATTAATAATGCAGTCATAAACCTAGATTTATACTTGTACTGATATATTTTAATGATTTTTGTATTTAAACGTAAATGGATTAAACCGAGTCATTTAACTCCCGCAAGGCGGCAGCCACCGAGAGTGAGAGTACGTACTGTACATCAGCCACATAATCACACCTGCTGGTCTCACATAGCCGAGTACGAATCTGGGCCAAGATCCTTAAAGGTTCTAAGATATATTTTACTCGGAACTGGAGATGTGCGAACACAACTAACTGCTGCCAAATACCATCAAAATTTCAGTGATTGAAGCGTAACTTTTTTTTTTATTCCTAGTTTCAATTAACGAGCGAACTATTTGAGAATTGAGATCGTGCTGTGTACTACAAATGCCTGAGGGAATCACAGTGGGAGAGAAAGTCTGCCACAACCTCCGCCTCGCATATCAGGACTCCACCCCCCACCGTCACTCTCCAGCCGAGTGGCGCCGTCAGCCATCGTTTAGCCCCCTCTCCTTGTTTAAAGGGCCTGTTCATATGTTCAAATAGAAGCCATGCTATTTTTAGAGCAGCTTAAGTACGAGACATTATGAGTATGCCTACGGGCCAAGATAATAAGTTATAGTCATTCTGATACTGTAAGCTGACGCCTGAACAACGGAAAATACTTGAGTTTGAGCTAAAAGACGCAACTAACGTCTTTACGCAAGAGCTCCAAATACACCAAGATTTAAATCTCCGAAGTAGTCCCTTAAGCTTCGCGTTCAATGAAGCGCCCAGTGAGTTCCCAGGATTAAGTGGCCACAAGACATAGACACACACACATACGCGACCCTTCCCTGGATCAGATTATTACACACCATCTCATAATTTATTGACAGCCTGCGGGTCAATGACACGGGGCTGTGGTATGCGTGACCCCCGCCGTCTCTCCCATCTTCAAACGTTTACTAATTATCTCATCAGGTAGGGTGTGTACTCAACACATCTTTCTCATCTTTAATGATAGTTTCAGCTTGTGTAATTAACATTCTCCATATTTTGACACCGTGAAAATTCCTTGCATTTACCAACCATTTACTAGTTACGTGGAATGGTTATATCAAATAACATATTACATGTTCATTACAATTAAATAACGTGAAGTAATGTTATAAAATATATAAAAAATAATGCAGCATCGTAACAATATTTTGTAGGGTATTGCAATACGCTCCAACATGTGCTGGGTAGATGCGGTGCAACAATTTAGGCAGTCAATAATATACCATCCAGTTGGCGGACGTATAAAAGTTCCCGAATATATATTTTTTTGCGATTTGTGAATAAACGAGTGGTTCATATAAATTTTATTATGGGGAATATTTGATGATGATCGGCTACAGTATCCAGAGAGATAGGTGGTAAGCTATATTGGTGTTTCCATTAGTGTAAAATACAGAAAGTAAAAGCTTTAAAGCTACTTTCTCATTTCACCGAGCACGCGGAAGAGGTTGTCAAACAGTTGCCAGTGGGTGTTTTCTACTCCTAGTTTTATCACAAAGATGACAGATCATGCTCCCTGCAATATTTGGTGACCCTAAAGCATCTAATACACCATGTTTTAATTATATAATGTAAAAGTCAACAACATATTTCTAAGTAGAGTATTACAATGTTAATTAATTACCCAGCAAATAATTTAATACGCAATCCTCTTAGTCAACATTAACTAATCCATTGTGGGTAACGCTACATGATGTTTTAATTTTTTTTAATACTCGGTGTTTCCAGGTAAGTAACACTTATGTAAATTCGGCATGGAGACAACAAAGCATGCGAGATTTATAAATGCGTAGGTGCGCAAAGACACGTTCACCCAACCTAACAAAGACGTTGATGGCATCTCGCCCTATATAAGTTGCCAATAGTGCTGGCTTACCAACTAATATATTTGTACCTTTTGCGTGACACTTGCACTATCTACAGCTTCACAAACGTCTGCACACCATCCAGCTAACAGTTACAAATATAACTTAAAACACATGACAGCGTTAATAGAAAGAAACTATCTAAAATTGAACACTAAATTCCAATCTAATATATTTTCTTCTGACAGGTGCATTGATATGTATTACAACTAAAAATATATAAATTTCAAATGTTTTAATTTACAAAACGTTTCCAAAATGATTCACCTAAAGTATGCCCGAATTTTTGTACCCAGAACCGAAGTATCTATACACGCTTTCCAGTAAAATTCAGGGATATTGTTAAACCGATAGGAATATTTATACACAATTTAGCCATCCGTTGCTATATTTGTAAGTGTTAAAAATACTATGACACATTTGCTCACACCAACAACGGTAAGATGAATACCTTACTATCCAGTCGTGAAAATACATTCGTACCCTGAACTCGAGGAAATAAAAGAGTCCATCCAATTCCAAATCTCACAGGGAATTTAAAGTCACCACACTATGGGTACACGGAGAGATTGCCTGGCTTGGATTATTACAAAAGATGAATAATGTATTTTTGAGTCACCAATTTTAATAATTAATTCTTCCTGTGTGCATTACGTTTTCTCAATGCACAAGTAGTAAACGGGATATTTCACTGGTTTGTTATGTAAGAGATATGCGTCTTGGCAAAAATATGTCCACTCACCCACACACAATTAGAAACATCAAAAAACCTCACTTTTGAATTTTCTGATTTGAAGGGCCAGGGCAAGAGAACGAAT